CACTGACAAAGAACGGTGATACAGTGCTGACGAGACAGAATCCTCCACTAGAGACTTTAAGGAAATTAAATCAAAAATGAAAATTTTAATTTTGCCGAATAATTTATAATTATTGGCAAATAAGCTATTTTATAGCTAGTCCAGCTAGTTTTTTCGAATTCTTCGTTGTGTTCCTTAGATAAAATCAAAGGTTTCCAAAGTATTTTAAAATCATTGTCAAATATTTACTAGATATTTTATAGCTATAATATTCCTATTAGTTATGTCGAATTCATAACCATTTCGAAACTACCAAAACATATAAAAACCATTATGGCTCCGTTTAAATAAATTTATTTTGACCTCTGACCGTATGAGTCATTTCGAATCGAAATTCATCAATCCAGCAGGGCTCATTCGATACGATCTCTGCTAAATCAACTCAAGTCCAACCCGTTTCACCCCAAAAAGATTTTCCATCTGGATGTCGGCTTCCTCCGTGCGATACGGAATTTTTCTCAGCAATTATCTTCGCTGGCCGACTTCCCGAAACCTTTTCTACACCTGTAGAAAAGTTGTTATATATAAATGCCAAGACTAGTAGTGAAGCTCATTCCATAGTTTCCAATTCATCACTCACCAACGATGGTTTCCGCTCAACCTGGGAAAAACTTACTGAGCGTTTTGAAAACAACCGATCGCTGGTTAACAGTCAACTTAAAAAGTTATTGAAGATTCAGTCCATAGTACACGAATCTTCGGCAGCCATAAAGAATCTACAAGATACCATCCACAATTGCCTTGGGATTGTCTCCTGTTTTATTTGTGCTCCACGTAACTTCCTAAGCTGACGCTCGCATTATGGGAGCAGTCCATCCCATCTTACGGGGCTACAATTTAGTTCTTTCCTAAGGTAGCGCTATTAAACTCTAGAGTCCATAGATTCTGTTCAACCTCCTACGATCAGCCTTCGGCCATCCAAACCGATAACCTTAAACGTGTCACCACGAGTATTAAAATCCTTTAGTATGAGGATTATTCAAATATACAAAATATGCGATTTGTGTTTAAAAGATAACCATCCAGTGCGTATATGTGCAAGCTTCCTTCAGATGACGATTGACGATTGGCTTATATCCAGAAAAAGCTGTTGTGTCAGAATTGCTTTGCAAAAGCAATTTCTTACTACTTCAATTACTGTCTGCCCTATGGCGAAATCAAGCGCAGACATTCCCGAGCTATTTCTGCCCATGCCCAGTCTGCCTAGGAAACCATCCTCTAAGGAAGTGCCACCGTTTTCTTAGAATTAGCGCTGAGAAACGGCTCCAGGCAGTCATCGAAAAGAACTACTGAGTCAACTGCCTAGCCCACCACCATTCCGAAGGATCTTGCCGCAGTAACGACCGATACCAGTCGTGTGGACAGGATCACCACACTCTTATACATGTAGATGAGCGCTCAGCATATCCCACGCTTTCCCGAGCTAGTAGTTCCTGATGATCTTGCTGAGGTATCCTTGCAAGGGGGGAGAATGTTCACGGCGAAAGGGCGCTTATTTTCAAGAGGCAGTGTGATCCCGCTACCAGCCTCGAAATGTCCCGTAGGCTCTCTCTCCCTTTTCTATCAGTGTAAAGAGCTTTCAATCCGCTCAACCAAGCTAGCTCTTAATAACATATAGTGAGTTATATTTCACAATCCAACGAATAAAGATTTGACGCACGTCGCGTAATACCCCGAAACAGTTGCCGTGTTTTCTTTATCGAATGCAAATATCTTAGAGCCTACCCCCTTCATTACTGCAGGCAGTTTCAATGCGGAATGTGCAGTTCGACCGCTTTCCAACAATGTTGCAGAAATGGCAGATGCTGCAACACCCAACGCTTTTAGTGATCTTGAACGAATATTTGCCGAAATCAGCGAAATGACAAATGTCTTCCCAGTCCCACCGGGAACATCGAGAAAGTAAATGCCTCCCATTCCATCGTCAACAACCTTCATTAATAAATCGAACACTTTTTTTGCTTCGCGTTTAAAAAAACTTTTTCGGCCAGTTCATCTCTTGCAATCGTTGAAACTCGCTCTTTGCGCTGCATTTGCGGCCAGTTCATCGCGCTCATAGTCCTGCTTCCGTTGAAACTCGCTCTTTGCAGTGCATTTGCGTCCGTAAAGTATAGGTGCTGCCCATTCTTCAAGTGAATCGACAAATAGAGGGCAATCGGATAACGTTCATGAATCTGAAATAAAAACAGCCGCCAAATAACTTCACCACGTTGAATTTTTTGTCACCTCATCGTTTGTATTCGGATCATCAATGCTTAATATCTCTATGTCGCTTTCTTTGTTCACACATTTGCAAACGTATTTGATGGAGTACTAAACATTGCAGTGAGCTGAAAAAGGTTTCAACCAAAAGCATACAATTTGGAACAATCCAGCTTTTATCGACATTGTCTGCGTTAGCGACCGTTATACACCTGCCGTTCCCCCAAAAAACATTCTGCTTCACGATGTAATCTATAAGTAATTTCAGTTTTGATGGGAATGGGAAATAAATCCGTAGTCTCAGAGACGGTCAGAATAAGTTTCAGATATTTATATTTTGTTTAGGGCTGGTTGCTGTAAAAGATTCCGTCCCGATTCCTAGAACACTGCAACATGTATTTATTTGATCGTAGATGGTTACAAGAAGTGGAAAAATCAGGGTGTCGGCTCCGGGCGTTTGGCTTGCTTGTCGTCGTTTTGCTCTGCTTGCCTTGGACCGCGCTAGTGACGAATCTGTGGAGAAATCCGAATCTGTGACTCTGAAGTCAACGGCCGGCGAAGGTATTGCCGGTCCCGCAAGAGAAACATTTGTTGGACCCGAATGTCATCCATGAGGGAAGTTGTTGTTTGACCAGAGAGTCATCCACGAGAGAAGTTTTTCTAAAGGGTAGCTATTTTTACAAAATCACGTTTCGAACGTTGTTTCACTGTCAAACATATTCAGTTTGATCTATTATTTAACCATGAATCGCCTTACAAATGAACCACGCTTGCAAATCAATAAATTTTTATTATCAAAATACATTGTCTGCTAAGAAAGTTCATCGCTCGCTTCTTCCATTTTATGACCAGTTCAGTCGACCCACTGTTGCGCATATTTGGGATATTGTGAATACATTTCAACAACACGATGCCACATGCACGCGTAACAATGGGGTATTGATAGGCGAGTCCGGTGAACATTTTATTTCATGTTTGGAACCGGTCAATTGGCCGCCTAGATCGTGCGATTTAACGTATTTAGACTATTTTTTGTGGGACTATGTTACAGCTTATGTTTATACAGACAAGCCCGCTTCAATTGACGCATTGGATAACAACATTGAAGCATTTATTCGTGAGATAACGGCCGAAAATTTTAAATTTGGGTTGGCAAGAAAGTCATGTCGTTTGTTTTTTTAATATTTTCAAAGATGATGGTCGATGGTCGACCAGAACGTGGGGCGTCTTTGACTCCAAAATCTCCAAGCCTGAATTTGGCAAACCAGCGCTGACATTGCCGATCATTCATGGCATCTTTACCATACACTTCGCACAATTTTTCGCGAGCTTCGACCGCTTTTTTTTCTTTTCGGAAGTAAAAAAGCAAAATATGCCGAAAATGCTCACTATGGTCCTCCATGTTTAATTTGCTATAGCTTCCACAAATGTTATCGAATATTTACCAAATTTTCGTCGATAGTACCTAAGATAATAGGCTTTAAAAAGATACTAAAAAGTGATCCTGGTGCTCGATTAGTCGTAAATAAATTAGATTAAAAACGATTACTAAAAAAAACGACATGACTTTCTTGATAACCCAATAGTATGCTAAAAATGGACTAAACGGATGAACCATTTGAGGTGTAGTCGCGGTGAACGTTTGCTAATTCATGCATTAAACATTAAAACAAAACTTAATGAACTTCTTATCAGTTTCATATCCTGAAATATTAATTCAAACTTATTGATGACCAAAAAATAAATAATGACTTGTTATCAAGCCAATCGTCCGATCATTTATATTAATGTGATATCCATCTTCTCCACGATAGATCATCAACGGGTATTGATCGATGTTTCTCATACGTGCGGTGCAATTGCAGTGATTCCACATTTTTTCGTTCAACAATTGAATTGTCTTGCATGGCAGTCTGCTTTTATAATAATTTTGTGGTCGTCGGAACGCATTGTATCTTATATGGCTTTGAACAATATCACCAATTCATTGTGCTTATGCAGAAGATTTTGCAATTGCTCCAAATTTGCCTTCTAGTTTCATTAAAAATTGCACAACGCTGATCCAACAAAATAGATCTTAAGGAATTTATGACCTCTGCTTTTTGTTGGTAGCAAAGCGCCCAGTCGATGGTGAATTTTCCCTTGAATCTCAATTTCGAGAACTATTCATCTTCATAATATTGATATCCCATTACATTAAAGTACGGACTTTACTGTTGGTAAACTATATCGGCACCAAAAAATGTCATTTGAAAGGATCCATTACATTGTTGTGTATACGCGAGAAAATAGTTTTATTCAGTTGTATTTCCATAGAGAAGTCAATACACTGGCTCTGGAGGATGCATCAAATTGAGCAATTTTGTCTTACAAGCGGTCCATCAGATTCCAATTGAAACTTCAATGCCTTGTAATGCGGACATGCAACATTCGAGTCTAAACTTACAGGCCATAACAATTTTCAGGAAAGTTGTCCAGCATTTTTTAGCTACGAAAATATTCGTCTGGCAATTTTTTACAATTAAAAAAAACCTCTCCTCTATTGATCTTGAGATCAGTGGGTTAAAATACATTAGAGTTCATATACATTTAAAGAGATTTCTTAAAAATGTTCAAGAGAATGAATTTAATGATTTAAAATTTAATTATATTTTTGTATGTTTATATCACTGGTAACAAAAAAAGATACTTCTTAAGTGGTTCGGCTAACGACGAAAATTGTATTCTCTATTGGGCCATACTGATTATGATTTGTTTAGTTCCCAAAGGCTCAAAACTGAAAAAGTGGATATCACAAGAAGTTAACGGATATATTTTCATTTGGTATCATTCTGAGCCGACGGAATTACCCTGGGAACTATCTTCATCTATGGAAGGATTGCAAGAAAGCTTTGTTTACCAAGGGCAAAATCAATTTTTTATTAATTGTCATATTCAAGAAATACCGGAAAATGGAGCCGATTTGGCGCACTTTGATGCAATTCACAAAAAAAACTTTATTGCTGACTTTTTGGTGACAAAAAATATTTTCGCAGAACATTTTGGACATCATCAATGGACGGCAAGGTAATATTAATTTTTACCCGTAATATTTCATACATATTTTTTTTATACCCTTGCAGGGAATTATTATTTTAACCAGAAGATTCTATCGCCCACATACAGTATAGATATTTTTTTGTCGAGTGGATCTGGCTATGCCTGTCCATTTACAGTCAGGCTCTTTTCATTTTGATTGAAATGGATTAATTTTTAATGATCCGATTGCAAACTTCACGGAAATATCTATATATATATATAAATGAAACCCGTTTTTCATTGTCGTACAATAATAACATAATAATAAAACATAACATGAAAACGGCTTGACCGATTTGGCAGATTTTTTTCTTATAGTTTTCTAATACTCTATACAAGGTTCTTACGGAAACAAATATTAAGAAAATCCTCAGAAAAATTGAAATATATACTTTTAATTTTGCATATTTTAAAAAACGAGCGTAACGAATGTCAAAGTCATCTGTAATCGGTAATCTGTGACACCATATCAATAACAAAAAATCTGTGGTAATCTTTGGCAACACATCCACCGCGCTAACAATAATTTTATTAAGTTTTTGATAAAATTCGTTTTGTTTCAAAGACTAAAAATTTTTTGTTTGCTAATAAGTGTTTGTTAATCACGGTAAGTTCGCTTCATTTCATAGCGATAAGTGTTTGTTAATCACGATAAGTTAACTTCACTTCATATCGATTTTTGGTAAATTTTGGCGACTACATAATATTACAATTTCATTGGCAAACCAATATATCAACTTTTCAGTTGGAAACAACAAAATAAATAAAGTTTAGGCATTTGTTATTAATGCGGTAAGTTGAAATGTGTTAATTATGTGGATCGTGCATTTGAGGTTATAGCCAAAAAGGCCGACGTGCGAACGAACACCATCATCAACAAATGTATTCACAGAACTTAAACGAAGAAAAACAAAATACATATAATGAGAGAAAGTGCCCTATTGAGAAAACGCGTGAGGACACGAAAATCATTGGCATCATACTTGCCCTTCTAATATGCCATTCCAATATCATCCCAATGCGAACTACAGTGCTGATGAAAATGTAGATATAGGACAAATGACCACTATATGCCGTTATTCAATGCATTAAAGTTCAAAAGAGAAACGGCGGGATTGTACTTCACAAGTAGAATAGTTAAGCTGGCTCCATTACTTTTCAAATATAAAGCAAAACAAAAAAAATGTCTCCTTCAATCACCAACCGAAATGTTACATAATACGAAGCCATCTAGTGATGAAGCGAAGTTGGCCAGGTTTTATAGTATGTTATATAACTGAAAAACGAATAAGTTGAGCGGTTTAAAAATACGAGAAGTGTTTCGGATCGTAATCTTGTTGAAACAAGAAAGTCTCCGGATTTAGCCCAAGTTTTTTAACACTAGAAACCAAATTTTTCTCTAAAATTTTCTGTAACGAATCGCTACATTCAAAATGAATGTTACAGGCAAGTTGTTAGCTCGAGATCTGAGCGCACGCAAGATATTTTTCCGGCTTCGGCTCGTCGGCTACGGGAGTGATGGTCTTGCTCGGATCTCGGGTTGCCTTTGCATAATTTGAAACAGAAATGAATGCGTGAAACAACAAGCTTATACCGGGACAGAGAAGCAGACAACACATAAATAAAAGTTGAGAAAAAATTGAACTCTCTTCGGCTTACTTGCCCCTCTTCAGCACTCCTGGTGTCCTGGAGGCTCTAGTTTGCCCATCCTTCCTATGGTCGCTCCCATCCTCAGCGCTATATAGCTTGAGCGACCCCTTTGACAAGTGCTTCCCTACATTACAAGGCATGCCAGCTGCGGCCAATTCTCAACATTTTAAAACATAATAATTTTATTTAAAACTAGAAAAATGTAAATTCATTACTTAAAATAGAAAACGTAAATAGACAATTAAACATTAAAACTTAGAATACAAATGATACTTAAATATACGCCCTTCGACTCGATTTCGGGCATTAATAAAGGAATAACGGCAAAGCAATTTTGGGCAAGTTGAAGGAAAATATTATTTACGCTGACTGAGGTTCAACATACATGTTGCAACAACAAAAAAAAAAATTAGAATTGGAGAAGCATAAAAGCTCTCAGCTTAAATAGCCTTAAGCGCAATCGCCTTATGTATCGGCGTTCTTTTCTTTTTTCCCTTCCCTCTTCGTTTTCCGCCGTTGGTTCGGTTAAATTTTCGTTTCTTTCTTTTACATTAACAGCTCATGATTTGGGACATTCTCTTTCTTTTCAATTTATTCCCTTTTTTTTGTACTTAAAATTATCTAAATTATTACCGCAGCACTGACTGTTTTCATAACTCCACCGATGAAAGCGCTTTCCTCGGAAGCTAGCTGAAAAATTAGGAGGAAATGACACATGCAAAAAAAGAGATTCACTTCCAAAGGGGATGACCTAAAAGCAGAGCTCGCAAATAACTGTCGACCGATTTTTTTCTTACGCTCTCGTTGCGAGCACAACCGAAAAAGTTCATACTCTCTCGCTCTCGCTCTGAGCAAGAGAATCTTGTTGTATTCTTTTAGGTTTTCTGTTGAACGTTTTTCGTTGAGATCTTTGTGTGTCGCTCTTTCAATGAGCATTGCCTAAAGAGCGAAACGAGAAACGCTCGCACAATGAGAGTCAGCAAAAGACCGATTGACCGAAAAACTCAACGCAAACGGTCTTTGCATTTACTCACACACACTCAATTCACGATCGCAATACAGACGCTTAACGACTTGCTTGCCTATGCGTGTGAGTGTATACCAATACATATGCAAAAGACCTTTTGCTTCACTGAACACGACAAAACGGTCTTGGAACAACCAGAACAAAACAGAATTAAAAAAAAACGGTTTCGCTCTGAGCGAGAGCGAGCTCATTTAAGCACCCTTATTTCGGTTGCTCTCTGAGTTTTTTCGTAAAGTGTCAGGAAAAGACACTTATTTGCAGACAACGAGAAACGGTCGACAGTTATTTGCGAGCTCTGCCTAAAAGAGAATACGAAGAACGGGGGAAACTACAAGAAAAACGACGCATTTGGCCCGCGCTTTCCAACTTGATTTTTTTTCACTAATTTTTTTTTTACAATAATGCAACGAAGTAATATTCCTCTATGCCGCACATTGCTCTTTATATATACACTCCTGTTCATAATTATACGACACCTATGAAATTTTTGTTTCAGCGGTCGTAGGAGAATGGAAACACACAGTAGATCAAAATAAAGTATGCCGAATAATAGCACAAGAAGTTGTGCACAAAATGCGATATTCTTATCCTTGCTTGCATCACTCGTTTTCAAGTAACGGTAAAAAGAGCACACACACCTTGATTTAGGCTACCCGAAAATTGTTTCAAAATGATACGACACATTTCAATTATTGCGGCTAAAGAGGAAGGTTTAGTGTTTATTGGTTTTTTTATAATTTTGTTAAATATTTTATTCATTTTTTAATAAAATGCCGCATGGTAGCTTTTTAAGCGAAGAAGAGAAGGGAAAAATTAAGGCGTATAACGAGTCTGGCCTTAATGTTAGCCAAATATCCCGGTTGATGGGTCGAACACGCTGTATTATTGCCAAATTTTTGAAAAATGTGGATGGGTACGGTGTCAGGCGTAGCTCTGGAAGAAAGCCGGAGCTATCTGATCGCGACAAACGTCGAGTATTTAACAATGAAGCAATTCTTTTTCATCGTGTGCCTCACTTTCTGCGTGTTGCAGTCGTCCTGTGTCCCGTAGGACTATCTGACGAACATTACCAAGCTCCGAAAATATTGTAAGAGTAGTTTTTAAAAAAACTCCGATATTAAAACCGCAGCCCAAAAGAGCACGACTTCAGTTTGCCGAAAACAATTTGGAAACAAACTGGACCTCGATATGGAATTTTAACTCAATTTTGGTTATAAAGGTTTTTGTCAATATTTCACATTTTAGATAATTTTTTCTGATGAGAAAAAATGTAATCTTGATGGCCCAGATGGGTTTCGTCCTAATTGGCTTGATTTGGGTAAGGATCCCCTTATGTTCCTAACATGCAATTTTGGAGGCGGATCAGTTATGGCTTGGGGAGCCTTTCATGCGTCTGGTACGCTTGAACTGTGCTTTACAAGCTCAGAAATTAAAAGTCCAGACTACAAAAATGTGTTACAAGATCGTCCTCTGTCATTTTCGGATCAAAATAAGGACCAAAATTATGTTTTTATGCAGGATAATGCGAATGCAAAGAGACGCAACGGTTCCTCAATGACAATAAAATAAATGTTTTGGATTGGCCGGCTTGACCTCCTAACCTTAAACCGATTGCAAACATCTGGGGTATCTTAGCCAGGCGGGTTTACGCCAACAACAACAAATTTCAGACAGTTAAAAGTCTCAAAAATTAAATTTTAAGACAATGGTCTCACTTGGACCAAAATATCTTAAAAAACCTTAAAAATTCAATGCCTAAAAGAATTTTTGAAGTTGGAAAAGCACAAGGCGCCGTTATAAACTATTAATATTTAGTTATAAACAATTAAACCAATTAAATATTAGCTGTAAACAAAAATAATGAAATGTGTCGTATCATTTTGAAACAATTTTAAGGTAGCCTAAATCAAGGCGTGTGTGCTCTTTTTACCGTTACTTGAAAACGAGTGATGCAAGCAAGGATAAGAATATCGCATTTTGTGCACAACTTCTTGTGCTATTATTCGGCATACTTTATTTTGATCTACTGTGTGTTTCCATTCTCCTACGACCGCTGAAACAAAAATTTCATAGGTGTCGTATAATTATGAACAGGAGTGTACATAAGTTCATTCTTCCTTATTCTTTTTTTTTTTTTTTTTGTTTTGCAATTTTCCGCAATTGAACCTAACTTAAAATTTCTATTTTCTCTTACACTAATTTTTCCATTTCTTTCTTTTCTAATACTGACACAAATTGGGGCTCGACAATTTCCTCACATCGCGGCGGCAAGTTCAAAACGCCCGACCGAAGCCTACGCCTACGCCGACTC